AAGCCTCTGGAAACAACCTTATGTACATATACCGATTCTTCTCGATAGACAAAACCCTAAAATTCAAAATTTCCACCAAAATATCAACTTTAGCAGAGAAATCGAGATAAAGATGCGAACTTTTCAAGAGAGATACCAGTTCCAGATTCCGAGCTTGAAGGAATCGGAGCGGCGATAGGAGCAAGGGCCGAAGCTCTCGATTCTCCACTGAGCGAGTCTCGCTATCGTTTCAACCTTCGAGTCGCCTGCCGTTAACGCTAGCTGTGAATCCGGTCATCATCTCGGTCGAGAGAAAATGGAGCTCTACGGTGGAACTCTGATGATTTTGGGGTTTTGTCATTAAGAAATTTCGCAAATAAGGACCTTAGACTTGAACTATTACAAAACTCTAGGGATTGGGCTTAGTAAATTGGTTAATTGCACTTTAGTACCTCAAGTTTAAGTGTTCTTTAAATGAACCGGAGAAGGAGATTGTTTACCTTTAATCCACTTTAGATTGATTTGTTTAGTGCTTGACACTTTAAAACTTTGGAAGACTCGAGTATCGTAAATTTTATTTCCTTTGTATGATTCACTTTTTTTTGTTTATTTTAAGGCTCTGGATGTATTTCTTATGAACTAGGTGTCATATCTTGTACTTTATTTTATTTTAATATAAGGAGCAGGTGCGTTTTGACAACAGAAAAAAAAGAAAAGAAAATGTGGTATCATGTGATGCGTTTTTAAAAAAAAATTAAAGTAGCAGAAGGCGTTAAAACTAAAATTTATGAAACTTTAAAATACTATCTTGGCAAAGTTAAAAATTCAGGATATCAAAAATTAAAATTTGGTGAAATTTTAAAGTGTCAAAGTGCACTTAACCCAAAATATGCAGTCTCTTCTTTTTCATGACCTTCCCTTTCGTTATAGGCTTCTTCTTTAGGAGTTTCCCAATTATGTATGTCCTTTTTTTTTAATAGATTTTTCCTTTCCCAAAGATTTTATATTATCATTTTCCATGAGCTACCACCCAATAGTAATTTCTTTACATAGTCAAATTATTCTTTATAGAGTACATTGAGATTACAACTTTCCAAAGTAACAAGGACTGGACCCGTTTGGATTGATTTTTTGGAGCTGTAAAATGGGGGAAAGCTGCCAAAAATGTCAGTTTTTTGGCAGCTTTCCCCCAAAATCGAAAGCTACCAAAAAGCTGACATTTTTGTAGCTTTCCCCCTACTTTCTCTCTCCAGAAACAGGAACCAAACGCCCCCTATATGTAATACGAATAATCTGCTGAGGCTATATCACCCACAAAATGAAGATACAAATGCTCTTTTATTGCTTCAACTCAACCTGATAACAGAGGCCTTCGCATAATACATCAAAGGGAGAAAAAAAAAAAAGAGGCATAAACTAAATCTCTATGCCTCAAGTATTCAACTAGTATACAACATAATTTACAAATTCTTCATCTCCTCCTGCAACCAGCTTCAAGATCTTCTACTGCTTTCTGAGCATTGATAGACCTTCTGGTTGCAAATTCATCGGCTTTTATAACCAAAAGAATGATGCTCTTTTAGAGAGTGAAAATTAGTGCTTTTTGCAGGGAAAATTTTTCGATGTTCGACTACTCATGTTCTTGGTTGCTGAATGGCAATTGCTTGTCTCCTCTCTCAACTGCTTCTCTCCATAGCCTGTATCTTATGCCGAGCTTATCATAGGAAACTGGCAAGTTCCATATGTTTGCTCCTCTGATCATTCGGTCTTGTTGCCCTAGCACGAGCCTTAGATCTTCGTTTAAGACCTGAAATCATGAGTATGTTAGTACAGAAAGTTAGAAATGTTGAGATTATGAATACATCTAAGCTTGCATAGGATAGTTTCTAACTATATTTGAGGATATTATATCTAAGATTCTTATGGGAATGATATTTCAGTTTAGCTTATTGGCTTACATTTTCAGTTAACCACTATCATATCCTTTTTAATTGCTAACAATCACGTTATCGCCTATCTGCGGACCTACTTACTCCATTACATATACTCTTATAACTTATCCCAATTGATGCATTTAATACAAGGCCAACCCATTTCAATCAAATCCCTCTCATTTTATCTTTAGAAATCCATAATTGCACATAACCAAAC